ATTTATTTATTTATTTATTTATTTATTTATTTATTTATTTATTTATTTATTTCTGGTATTCTCCCAGTCCCAACTACCCTCCCTTGTCTTCCCGTATGCCCTTTTCCTAGTCCCTGATATGGTTTCATCCAGGCTGGCTGCATCATCTTCTTGTGTTGCCTAGCAAGGCTGTACCACCTTCACCAGGGGGAGTTGATCAAAGCGCTGGCTACTGAGTTCATGTTAGAGACAACCCTTGTACCCCTTACTTGGAAATCCACTTGTATAATGAGGAACCTATGGCCTTTCTCTGAACAGGGGATCTAGGTTTTCTCCATGAATAGTCCTTAGTTGGAGTATTGACCTCTACAAGCCCCCTTGGGCCCAAGTATTTTGGCTCTGCTTTTCTCCTTGTGGAGTTCCTCTCCCCTCCATCTCTTTCTATTTCCCTCTTCTTCCATAAGGATCTGGGTACTCTGCCCAAAGTTTGGCTCTGAGTTTCAGTATCTCCTTTGATACCCTGGTGGGTAGAGTCTTTCAGAGGCCATCTGTGGAAGGCTTCTGTCCTTTTCCCTGTGTTCTACTTCAAATGTCTATTATGCTTCCCCTTCTGAATGAGGATTAACCATCTTCCCTAAGGTCCTCCTTGTTTTAGGATTATAGACTTTAGTATGTTTATCCTATATTATATGGCTAATCTCCACTTATAAGTGAGTATATACCGTATATGTCTTTCTGCTTCTGGGTTACCTCACTCAGCATGATCTTTACTACTTCTGTACATTTGTTTGCAAGTTTCATGATTTCCTTGTTTTTAATTGCTGAGGAGTATTCCATTGTGTAAATGCACCACACTTTCTGTATGCATTCCTCTGTTGACAGACAGCTTGGTGGTTTCCAGATTTTGGCCATTATAAATAAAGCCATTACGAACACAGCTGGGCAAATTTCCTTATTGAATGGTGGGGTATCTTTTGGGTATATGCCTAGAAGTGGTATAACAGGATTTTGAGATAACAATATTCCTAGTTTCTTGAGAAAGCACCAGATGTATTTCCAAATTGGTTGTACAAGTTTATATTTCCACCAACAATGGAGGAGGGTTTCCCTTTCTCAAACAACCTCTCCAGCATGCATCATCCCTTGAGTTGTTGATCTTAACCATTCTGATGGGTATGGGGTGAAATCTCAGGGTCGTTTTTGTTTGCATTTCCCAAGTGACTAATGACTTTGGGCATTTCTTTAAGTGTTTCTCTGCCATTCTATATTCCTGTACAGAGAATTCTATGTTTAGCTCTGTTCCATTTTTTAATTGGATTACTTGGTTTGTTGGTATTTATCTTCTTGAGTTATTTAATATTCTGGATATTTGCCTTCTGTCAGATGTAGGCTTCATGAAAATCTTTTCCAGTCTTTACACCTTATTTTATCCCAGTTTACAGTGTCCTTTGCTCTTCAATGACAAAAATTTCAATATCTAGTCAGTGTTGAAATTTCCTAATTGCCTCATTATTCTATGTTTTTTTTTCCTTAATGTATTATTATTTGTTGAATCAGGATCTAATAATACCTCTCCAGTGTGACTTTCTGGGATGCATTTAATGGAAGCTCTTCAACTTGTTTTCATTTATGTTCTAGGCCTCTAAAGACACCAGTTGTACAGAGAAGGAAAATGGAACTCGGAGACCTAGAGAACTTTCCTGAAACTTAATAGCTACTAATTAAACAAAGAAACCATGCTCACTCCTTTTTGATTTCTCAGTGTATCGTGTTGGTGGCCGTACATGGTTCTCACCTTTATTTTAGCTTTATATATTTTTAATCTAATGGTATGTTCTAAAATATTTCAGGTGCTCATCATCTGCTCATTTTGCAGATGATGAACACCTAAAATAGACTCAAAGATTCATGTGGTATAAAATATTACTACTACTGATAGTAATAATAATAACAATAATAATACAAGAAGAAGAAGGAGGAGAAGTATAGGAAACTTACTGTTATTGTGTTGTTACAGTATTGGGATAAAGTTTCTGTCATGTTGACATGATTATTTTAAGACTGCCTCCTAAGAATATTTGAAAATAATTTCTAGGAATACTTATTCAACCAGTTTTCTGTGGTCATTAGTTCCAACGTTGCTTGTGTCTTCGGTGATTAGGACCTCCAAGAAAGTAGGAGGAGTTGTGGGCTTGAAGATGGACTCCAGGAGCTGTGGGTCAGTCTAAGGCTTTAAGCTTTTTTAGTGACATGGGGTGGGTAGGTATGTCAGGCAAGGGTTTTACCAGAGTCTTATCTGGTTGTTGCTGGTGTCAGCAGTCCTCCAAGAAAGCAGGCAGAGTTGTGGGGCCATAAATGGAGCACAGTCTTTGGGATGCAGTTTACCTCTGTTAGATTTACTTTCATGATTGTTGGCAGGCCAGGCCTATGGGAAGGGAGGGACTTACCTGGGGTTCCTGTTGCAGGCAAGCCTTGGGAAAGCTTGCAGAGTAGTGGGGCAGGAAATTGAGTGCAGGGTATGGGGTGCAGTTTACCAGTGTAGGGTGTGCTTTCAGACAAGTTGGTGGACAGGGGCTTAAGCGAAGGGAGATGCTTACCAGGGTCCCTGCAGGAAACCAGGCAGAGTTCTGGGTTCAAAATGGATCATAGGGTTTTAGGTACAGTTTACCACTCTTGGCTGTGCTTTCAGGGGAGCTGGCGGGCCTCTGCTTCAACTTTGCCTATATAATTAGTGCATAGGTTGCTCAGAAAACTATGCAAGAAATTTCCTATAAAGTATGTAGGTTTTTACTGTGATATGACTATGATTTATACTTTTATGAGTGCTTAAATTTAGTATTATTATATGTTTATGTTTTAGATTGGAGATTTGATATATATTATAGAAGGAAAAGGTTTGCTACCCTTGCCTTCCAGCTTCCTTTCAATGAAACCTTCAAATCCAATTGACTACAGCAGTTCTCTAGAAGGTATATTACACATGGTTTGTTTCATTTGATCCGGTGACGAATCAGATTATTCCTTGCATGGTTATGAAACCATTTTTATAGCAGTTTGCTTCAACATGCAACCATATTTTAGAAAGCATCCTTCTAACTTTATTATATTTGTATTTATGAAATAGCCCCTATTTACCAATTAAAACCATAGAAACATTGTTGGTGGCTTTTTTATAATTTTTTTTTTAAGTTTCAGATAATATATAAAGTTAAGATACCAAACATTACTGACTAAACATAGCCGTTTCTGTTTGGAAATCATTACATTCTCAAAATTACATTTATTTTATAATCTAGACTTCTATTCTTATGTCTTACTCTTGATTACTACCACGGAAATAATTTGTTTGTTAATGAAACAAAGTTTTAATTTTTGCTCGTTCTTAAAGGGTATCATTTTTTTATCCTGTTTCCATTTTCTCTATATTATCCTTAATATGTGTGCTAACTCATTCCAGAGATTGGAAAAATAAAAACTGAGACTGAATATAAAACCTCAGACATAAATTTTGATTGGAAAGAAAAAGAGTTGAATGAAATGGATATACAGTGATTTTGAAAAATCAAGGAACTTACCAAGAGTGACACGAATGAATATTTTGCATTTTTGTAATTGGTCCATAATTTATTTTATTTTCATTGTAACTTTAAAACATACCTTTTAGGTGTCAGTAAGAATTGTTTTATGGCTGGAATTATAGTTTATGTTGATGTATCTTATGTGTGCTTGAGAATACATGATCTTTATACCAAAAAATAGCATGAGTATTTTGTTTTATCAAGTTGGTGAGGAAATTATGATTTTTGTTAGTTTATGAAAACAACATTTTCAAAGAAAGTCTCTTCCCCATGGTTAAGAAGATTTTCCTATGTAAGACAAAGATCTGTTTTTGTTGTTGTCGTTAGATTGTTTGTTTGTTTGTTTGTTTGGTTGGTTGGTTGACTTTTTTACATGGAGATCAAATTTGCCTTTGGAGACATCTTGGCATTATCCCATATCTGGTGAGTTTTGTTCTCTTTGTTCTATTCTGATAGGTTTAGGGGATAATGCACATTCCATTCATGGTTAACAATACAAGACAGTGACCTTGTTAGCTAACAGGCTTTAGTGGATTAGGTATGTGAGAATCTGTCCTATTTTATCCTCATGAGAAATGTCATGTGAACCTTACCAGGATCACAGTATACTAAATTTTTTAGCATATTGATAGTTTTAATAAAGTACTGTTGGAGTAAACTTCTCTTAGAAAATACTAATACAGTATCTTTTATTCTTGAAGTCTTATACTTGAGTCAATTATTTAGAATTAGTAAAAATGTATTGTCCATTTATTTTTCCTCTGATTAATGAACATCACCACTAACTGTACTTTTTTATGTTTCTAACCTCACAGTTCATGCTAGATAACAATGCAGAGGTAATAAATATCCATTACATTTATAAATATTTTTACTTTCCCCAGAGCATAATAAGGAAGATCCAGTTCTATATTTGAGCTGCAAACCACATCAAATCCTTGATTTTGACCTTAAAGTATCAGTGACTAATGAAGCTAAGGAAAAGGCTTTGGTTTTTGCAGCTCAGCAACAGATGTCAACTCTTGAGTATGAATGAAGGGCTATCACTGGCACTTTGGAGAGCAGTACCATTCGTGTGGCCATTGCCCTCCTCGGACTAACCAAAATTGAGGTAAGGATAGAGAAATGATGACATTCACCTGCTTTTGGAAAAAAAAATATTTATCTATTTATTTATCTATTTATTTATTTACTTATTTACTTATATACTCATTCATTCATTGTGTGTGTGTGTGTGTGTGTGTGTTTGTGCATTTGTGTGAACGTGTGTGCTTACACACATTTGAGTCTGCACATGATGCCAGGTTAGCAGATATCAGAGGGATAGCATAGGACAGTTTGCAGAAATTTGTGCTCTCCTTTTATCATGTGGGTTCCAGGGATCTACTCAGGTCATCAGTCCATGGTGGCCCGTTCTTCTACCTGATAAGCTGTCTCAATGGCCCTAATTAGACTTAAAAGTTTGCAGCTCAGTTATTGTATAATTATAATATTGTGTTCATTAAGAGTGATGAATGCTCTTTCTTTTTCTAGTATTTCAGTGGAGTTGTTATTGCATTAAATATAAGAGCATCTGAAATAAAGTATTCTTATGTATTATTTTAATTATTGTAGTGTAGTCTTGAATTCACACTAATTGTCAATTCTGGCTGAACATTAGAATGTTCTTAGAAACTTAAAAGTAACTCCATCAAACAGACCTCTCTAGAACAACTAAATTTAAATCTTAAGAAATGACTGATTGGGTATAAATTCTACCCGTTCCCCAATATGCTGCCTGGGATCAAATGAACAAGCTAAGTATGAGACACTCTAACTATGTCCAGCTGTGTGATTATAGGATGTTTACTTAAACCTTTACAAGTTGCTGTTTTATATTTTTAATGTCATGATAATGGTAATTTATTAAAATTGAGATAAATTTTAAGATAACTATTAAATAATGCATATTCTGTTCATGCATAGTTTTGATTACTGTTATGGTTATTGTTATCAGAAATAATATATTAGCATAGACTATTATTATGACTTGAAATAATATATAATTTCTTCTGTTAGCGGACAAAATCATTCTTTAAAAAGTAAACATGCTAATATGCTCTTCTGTGCACATTCTAGTTTTTGCCAGATAAAAGCCAATGTTCTCAGGATACTCTAGGAATGAACTTCCTGATCAGTACCAACTTATCCCATATTCTCTGCTCCTCCATTAGAGTCTATTTACTCACGGAACTTCTCAGAACATTCTTTCTTGCTTTTCCTTTCTTTCTTCCTTTCCTTCCTTCCTTCCTTCCTTTCTTTCTTTCTTTCTTTCTTTCTTT